AACATAGAAAGAACCTTATTTTGAACATGAATAGATTCAAGTGATTCCTTCTCATACAGGTTTCCCAACGATGGAGGAGAAGATAAAGCTCAAAACTTAAGCATCAAAAAAAAAAAAAAAAAAAAAACTTAAGCACCAGCCCCTGTGCTCAAGAAGGATCACACTGGAATCTCTAATATAACTCAGAAATATAGCCAGACTGGGCCTGTGGTACCAGAAGACGGCTTCTGTCCTGTAAATAATTCTGAACTTGAGTACTTCACAAGTAAGACATTTGAATGCTTATGAAACGGGTCCACAAACTCAACCAACTCCTGGGTCAAATCCTGCCCATAACTTGTTTTGTTGTTTGTTTGTTTTTCCCACAACCTGTTTTTATAAATAAAGTATCCTTGGAACATGGCCGCATCTATTTGTTTTGTCTCTTGCTATGTAAAAGGAGGGTTGAGTAGTTGTGACAGGGATTATAACAACCCTCAAAGCCCAAAATATCTACTATATGGCCCTTTACAAAAAAAAAGTTTGTTAACATTGGCTTATGATTCAAAGAAGAAGACAGAATTCAGGGGACCCACAGTTTTAGTTTTTAAGAATGGGGAAGTAGAAATCTCCTTCTGTTTTTGGTCTTAATGATCTTATAATTGGGACCAAAAGGGAAATAAACAGAGTTCAAGCTGTTAATGGGGAGAAAAAAACTCCTCTCTAAGCTCTTGCAGCTGTAGTGTTACATACTTTCTTTAACACATTGGAACAGTGGTTCCCAAACTTTCTTGCACACTGAAATCACATGGGATTCTCTTAAAACAATCAAACAAAACCCCCACACACCAGTGCCTGGCTCCCACTCAAGACATCATGATTTAATTAGTATGTGGTGCAACTTGGGTATGGAGATTTTTTTAGAAGCTCTCTAGATGATTTTAATGAGCAGGAAAATTTGGGAACCACTACACCAGCAGATCAAACTGTAGTGTTGGAGTAAACTATTCCAAAAGTCATTGCAGGTGCTTCATGAAACTGCTTATTAGTTAGCAGTAGTTTTCACATAAGTAAGATGTCAGAATCCTTAATAGAAACTATGAGTGATTTCAATTGCTCTGTGACCTAACTCAGGTTAAAAAAAAAAAAAAAAGGATGAGAATAACATCTTCTATAACACAAGACGGACCTGTGGCTTCATGGAGAAGGCACTGAACTTGGAGAGAGAAGTCAAGGCCTAGCTCTGTCCTTATCAGCTATATGACCTTGGGCAAACGATTTGTCTTGACCTTTTTACTTTATTCAGTAAAAGGAAGATACTAGTTCTTACTTTGGACTTTTCCTTTTAGGAATGATGAAAGTATACACTGTTTTAAAGTTCTAGTAATCATAAAATGCCAAATAAGTGGAATAATTCATCATGACAATTATTGTTCTAAAGCACTGGTTCCTAAATGCAAGTCCATAACTTGAAA